TCTCTTCTGAGTGCTTGCTCATACTGCGGTGCTATGTTGCCGCAAAAAAAGTTCCGGAGCGTCCACAAGTACGGCAAGCGTCGGAAAGCTTGGAACAAAGGGCAGACGACTGCGGCTGCCGTCCCAGTCGCAGTTCCGGACGGAGCATGCTCTTCAAGCGTCACGGAGCCTCTACTCAGACCCTTCGCTGATTGTTGTGAGGCCGAGAGTGTGGAAGGTGCCACATCGTCGTATGTCAGACCGCCGGATGCCGTCGACCGTGATGGACGCTCTCGCGAACCCGATTGCGGTGGCACCGCGTCGGCAGCCGTTGCAACTCCGGGCGTGCGCGCGTCGAACATTCTATCGCGAGTTTCGGCCCAGATTCCGAGCAGTGAAGAAATCGCGCAGCGGGCGCAGACAAGGCGGGATGTTTTGGATGCCGTAGCATCGAAGTCCGCTTCAAAGCGGAAGCTCGAGCTTCTGAACGAAGGCTGCGACGAAAATTACGGCGGTAAGGACTCCACATTCTTCATTGTAAATAAGAAGATGCTGAACGGTCTGCTTTCGTCAGTAAAGTGCAACAAGTGCGACGAAGGGTCGATACGCCTCGAGACTACGCACTGCCTTGGACTCGCGGCGAGGATGGAACTTTTTTGTGACAATTGTGGCTTAGTGAACAGTGCGTGGTCGTCCCCGAGGTGCTCCGGGCAACAAAAAACGAACCCCTTTGAGGTAAACGTGCGTGCTTTGAGGGCTGTGCAGTCAGTTGGCAGAAAACAATCTGCCATTAATGACATTTTTTCTGCGATGGACATTTCGCATCGAGCACTGCACCACAAGTCCTACCAGAGACTGCAAAGGAAGTACAGCCACCCTGCCACCACATCAGCTGCCACCCGCATTGAAGCAGAAAGTGCACAGAAGGTGCATGACATTTACAAGGACCTAGGAGGAGTGCCAGGCAACATTGACGTCATTTACGACGGCACGTGGATGACGAGGGGGCACAGAAGTCATATTGGCGTGGGCTGTGTTATCGAGCTGTACACAGGCTTGGTCTTGGACCACTGTGTCCTGTCCAACTACTGCCAAGGCTGTGCTGTTGGCCCCAAGCCTGGTGACGACAACTATGAGGAGTGGCTTGAGAAACACAAGCCACAGTGCCAAAAGAACACCGATGCTAATGCAGGCCAAATGGAAGTAGAAGCAGCTAGGATCATGTTTGAAAGATCGTTTACCAAGTACAAGCTTCGATACATCAATGTGCTCTGCGACGGTGACAGCCGTACGTACCTTGCCCTCACGCAAGACAAGGTGTATGGCTACATGGTGATTAAGAAACAGGAGTGTGTGAACCATGTGAAAAAAAGAATGGGCACTTCCTTGCGCAACCTTCTTGATGAGCACAAATCCAAAGGCCGAGGACTGAGCATGGGTGGCAAAGGCCGGCTGACGCAGGGCCTGATAAAGAAGTTGACGAATTATTATGGCTGGGCCATTAAGAGCCACCCCAACGATGTTCCTGGCATGGAGAGGGCCATCATGGCCACTTATTACCATGTAACATCCACAGATCAGGATCCACACCACGACCTGTGCCCAAGTGGGACTGACTCCTGGTGCCCGCACAATCAGGCATTGGCCAAGGGAGAGCCGCTGCCGCCTCACAAACATAAACTGCCCCCTCACGTGCGAGTGGCACTGCTGCCAATCTACAAGCGCCTCTCGAACAAAGAGCTCCTTGAAAGGTGTGCGCAGGGAAAAACCCAGAACGCTGTGGAGAGTATGAACAGCCTCATTTGGTCACTCCAGTCCAAGAGCCAGTTCGCCTCCCTTCGAAGTGTGGAAAGTGCAGTTGCAGATGCAGTCTGCCGTTTCAATGGTGGCTGCAAGAGTGCGCTGCAAGAGATCACTGCTCAACTGGGCTTCAATCCAGGAGACTGCTCTTTGCGGCGAGCAGCCGAAAAGGATGCCAAAAGGGTAAAGAGGGCTCAAAAGGCGCATTGTTCCACGACAAAGAAGCGCAAAACTGGGTTGCGCTCTACAGAGGCCAAGGCCACAGCATCTCAGGATTACTGCCCAGGAGGATTCTGAGTGTTTTAGGCATGTTGTGAACTTCCAAACAAGAGTGAACTTTCAAAGTCAGTTTTCTCAACTCTTGATTTTCGCCTATGTGCCTTCGCTAGAACATCTGTCATTTTCTAACAAAGACTGATAGAGTCGTTCCGTTTTTTGCACTAGGCTCAGGAGGCCTTTAGCAGTGCAATAAAGCTTTATCTCTCTTCTTACTCGTCATTTAAAATTTTTAGAACACATTTTATAATTACTGCGATGTGTGCGCAAAATAACATCCATGTTTTGGAAATTTTATTTATGGTTACAAGAACTAGAAAAATCAACTAATAGCTTCTTTGCACAAGTTGATGCTTTGGGAACATAATAATATGAAAAAATAATTTCATTTAGCAATAATTATCTCTTTAAGTGTAAAGAGCATTAATTAGTATAATTATGCTTGTAACTCAAAAAGTACAAGAGGTATTTGAAAACGGTTTTCATATTTGGAATCCTCACAATCATCCACATACACACACCAAATTTCATTACAAACAGTACATTAATAAAGAAATTAGTTTTACTTGCCACGTCCCCCCTTAAACTCACAGGGGTACAACTCCAGTGAATGTTTGTTAATGGGGGAGGCCCCTCCAGAGTTGTTCGCAGGACTGTTACACGATATCGAACAATGAGCTAACGTGCGTGAAAAGTTCGCCGCACGTGGACCAGTGGTTTTTAGGCTTGGCTGCTGAACCGAAGGTCGTGGGTTCGGTCCCGGCGGTCACATTTCGATTGAGGCGAAATGGTAAATGCCCACATAGTGTGCCATGTCAGTGCACGTTAAAAAAACACCACATGTTCGAAATTTCCGCAGCCCTTCGCTACGGCGTCTCTCATAATCATCTCGTGGTTTTGGGATGTAAAACCCCGGATAATATTTATTGTTTTTTAGGTTGCCGCAAGAAAAATACAGGAAAGGCTTACCTGATGGAGAGATAAATGAAGACACATGGGTTAACCATAATCGATATGTGCAGCTCGCTACCCTACATGTTTTAAGGGGGGAAAGGGTTAAAACGATGTGAAGGAAAGTAAGAGACGGAGAAAGGTCATAGAATGCTCTAGTAATTAAGAGCAAGAAGACGGCACAAGGCTGGAACAATATTTTGCCCCTAACAAAAAAAAAATGCTACAGTCTTGCAGTAGAAAAACTAAACAAAAAATTTATTTTATTCACAGCATACTTCTTTTTTTCCGATGACATTATGAATGACCACACATATCTTGTTTTAAGCGCGGAACACTTTAGAGGTTCAGTCTGTCGTATGGGGTAGTCGCTTGGCATAACGCAGGCAAAAGCTGCATCAGAATTGAAAAAAAGAGTAAGCAAGCGAGAAATAGAAAGAAAGAAAGAAAGAAAGAAAGAAAGAAAGAAAGAAAGAAAGAAAGAAAGAAAGAAAGAAAGAAAGAAAGAAAGAAAGAAAAGGAAAGAAAAAAATAGAAGGAATTTTTCAAAAAAAGAAAGAAAAGACGGAAATTACTAGAAAGAAGAGAGAATAGGAGGAGGAACGAGAAGGAAAATTGAATAAAAATAAAGGAAGTGTCCCATCTCCTCACTTACTTCAGGCTTGGCACCACTAGTGCGAAGCTGCCTCACTTCTTTTTCTCCCGGAATAGAACACACAAAACTCAATGAAGCTGGTGTTTGCGGCGTGGATGGCCGGTTCCTTTCAACGTACATTTGGGTTTGTGACTGCATGGACTAGCGGGCAACATTCGGTAGTGTTTCCGCGTTGTGCATATTGCCAGTCTAACTGCAATGGACGAAAATAAAAAGCAATCTTTTGGTTTCCGATGTTAGCCCAATGTCGAGTTATAAGGTACCACAAAGTATTCCGAGACCTTCCACGTGAATCATTTTGTCTTCATTGAAAGCGTGTTAATTTCTATACAGCTTTCTTTCTTCTTCTTACCTTTTTGTAATTATTTGTGTGTGGCTATTTTGTGAGCGAATGCTGGGGGACTACAACAAAAAATAGGGTTCTCTTAAACATCTGATTTAAGTGCTAAATATTTGAGTGTCCCAAAAACGTAAACTGCGATAACAGTCACTCTTTCTTATTTTTTTACGAAAGATACAGTGAACACAACTGGATGACCATGCCCTTTTCCTTTCTTTTCACCGCACATTTCTTTCGTTGAAATGAACACTCGGGGTCACTGTTATCAGAGGGGCGCTGACCACATTCATGGACCCTTGTTACTCTTGGCTTCAACTTCGGGACCAAGTCATGGTGATCGGACGAGGCACACTTCATGCCTTGCTTTCGTTGCGCACGTCCGGGTAATAGCAATTTCATCGAGCGGGCATGAAGGTCAGGAAGTCTGTAACTGTCGGCAAATCCCCGCACACGCCATCGTGGTGTAGAGCATATTGAACAGTGCTACACGTCACACAGAATTGCACACTAACTCCGCGTGGTGTCTTCTCCGTCTTGTATAACAATGTCAAATCTACTTTCGATGCAGGAGCATTGACAAGCACTTGACAACACGCTACAAACGTGAACGTATGTTGCTCGCAGCTGTCTGTTCACAGTTTGTGTCATTAGGTGCGAAGAAAGCTGACGACTTGAGGAGCATGGCAATGTTGGGCATTACTTCCGGAAACATGGTATAGTCACACTTCTTGGCTGGTCCTCGCTGACAGCCTTCAATTCGTTTGCCCGACCTCTGCGTTGAAAACGTTGGAATGTCTATCCTCCCGCTGCTACACGCAGGAGTGTGATGAGATGACAAGTGTCTTCTGAAGAAGAAGCTGCAGAGGGTAACGTTAATGGCAGGACGTCGTCACCCCACGACATTAAGTGAACACTTTCGTGACGGTCGACAACCACATCACTGTGGACCAGCCACCTAGTTCACTTTTCTTTGGCCTCAAGGTCGTCCCAAGACTTTGCTCATGGTCTCCTGGAGACAACAAGGCAGCATGCGAGAGCCGCCAATGTTGCGCTCAGAGTTTGGACGAGCCTTGTAGAGCAACTGCTGCAAGTGGGCTCGTCGACCCGGTACCCGGCACAGTGCGTCGACACAAGGTATCCACCAGCCTTGATGATGATGTCTTCGGCGAGCTCGGCCGCCTCCGCGTTGCAACGACGGAGCACAGCCGCTTTGGCACAGTTCTTGTACCCGTCCATTTGGCTGCATAAATAAATATTGAAGCCAGGTAATTGTTAAAAGGGAAAACAAATCGTTTTTGCCAGAGAGATAGCGAAAAAAATGAATGTTCACCAAAATTGTTATTACAAAGTCGGAAACTTGGAATGTTTAGTGTTGGACATCGGTGTTTGTTTAATAGACGATTCTGTCTCAATAATAAAGGCCCACTAAATGTTTAACGTTTACAGGGCTCAATAAATACGCGTTCTGATCAAACTGTAGACACCTAAACTAGATTTATTACAATGATAGTATATGAGCAGCAAGATGACAGAACCAAAAAGCAGGCGGAGGATAAATGCTATAGCCTAAATTATACATCACTCAGTTCTTGCAAGGGCACTGACACGAAAATGTTCAGTTCTCACTCTTCTGCCCTCAAGAGCGTCGAAATTATACTGGCAAGCGCAAGGGAACCCTGAAAACGTAACTACAGTATTAAAGCTAGTTTAGGTTTTTACTGCAGCCCCGCCATGGTGCTCTGGTGGCCAAGGTATACTCAGCGGCTGACCCGCAGATCGCGGGATCAAATCGCGGCTGCGGCGGCTGCATTTTCGATGGAGATGAAAATGCTGTAGGCGCGTGTGCTTACATTTGGGTGCACGTTGAAGAACCCTACGTGGTCAAAATTTGTGGAACCCTCCACTACGGCGTCTCTCATAGTCATATTGTGGGACGTTAGAACCGCACACATTAATCAAGGTTTCTATACCACACCATAATGTGACAACACCGTGCTCACGGGCTGTCGCAAGATACGATGACATTTCCAGCACCGCTCGCTGCGTGGCTTAATCAATGACGTACTGCAGGTGGCCATTTTGAGTGTTTCGGATAACGCACAAGCGTAAATGTTGAGTGTTTTGGCTCCTGGCTTCACTGAAACTAACAATCACGCCGGAAGGTGAAGTGGCTAACTTTGTACGGCGACTAATGTGACAAACATGACACGACACTCGTCACATCGTGTCCCCTTCATCCCCGTTAGAAGTGCGCTACTTCACCGTACGGTATAATGATCAATCACCAACTACAGCAGCTTTCAAACTTAAAGCACAAGTAGCCATACTGGTACGTGAAGTCCCATGAACTGAGAGCCTGACGTCATGGTGGTGTCAACGTCAGTAGGTGCACTGTGAGAGTATTCATGTTTAGACCAAAATGAAATATGTGTTGTGAGCTTTTACAGAGCTTTGAAAAAACTTAGCTTCGAAAATTGGTCTCGGTACCACTTTGATGAAAAGTATAGGCGTGCGCAGGGTTTGGCGTGAAAAAATAAAGAGAGGGGGGAGAACATTCATCTCAGTGCACCCCCCTCTCTTCCCCGGATTGGTCGAGCCCAAGGGACAACATGCTTTACAATGAATGAAAAAGGAATTAAAAACAAAGCGATCAAGTGCTTCTCACAACAGCCCACCTTCAGTTTACAAAAAGCGCTTCTTACTTCGAATTCAGCGTGCAGCTTTGTCAACATTGTCCGCGCGGTCACGAGGATGTGTATCATGTATTGCTCGACTGTATTAAATACACACACACATGGTCAATCGAATAGAAATGCCACGCGCTAGATTCGGAGCGAACATTTTCGCTGTCAAAGATGCTAGGCCCATGGCCATGTAAGATAAATTGCAAAGCGGTGAAATTGCTACAACGCTTTTTTGGGGACACCAAGATATATCATTAATATTGAGGGGATCACATTGAAAGGACGCCCATGACTTCGCGTTTACTTTTCCCTACTAAGGTTTTTTCAACTTGCCAATGTACAACTGCATATGTGAATATAATATTTTTTTTGTTTCTGAACTTTTTATATTGTAACAACCAAGTGAAAAGAAGTATCCATTGTAGAACAATGGTGGCAAAAAAGGCCTTCGTTTATATTTTTATATTTTAATGAGAAAAACAGAATTTTTTTTTTCAAGTATTGATAGGAAGTAAACATTTCCCGTAATCCAACACGGAGGGCCTTCTGCCACTATTACCGTTAAAGAGCGGCGTGTCCATAACTTATTAAACGTATGGGCAGACATAGCGTCTTCCATCAACAATTAGGGAAGGAGGGGGGGGGCAGTTGCATGGTTCCTTTTTGCACATGTCTATGATGGAAACAAGCAGTGGAGCGAACATTAACGATGACGTCGACGTGAACTTGCCAGCAAGAAAGTCGTATCTTCTCCTGTGTGCTCAGCATCTGTCCTTGAAGACCGGCTCGTTGTGCCATGTAGATAGCCGCGCAGTAATTGTAGTCGTCTTGTAACTGCTTGTAGCACTTGGAATGCTTCAGGTAGGCTGCACGACAAATAGGAAATGATACCCGTCCCACATGGGCACTTCAGACTTAGTACAAATTTACGTGGTGCCACATGGGAAAATCAAATGGCATTTCCCTGTATTTTCCTTTATTTAGTTGTTTGACAATAAATGATTGCCGTAGTGCAGGAGACGAAAGGCGACATTGAGGGTCGCCTGACAAGACCTCTAGCACTACACCGCACATTCTTCACACAGAGCGACTGCTTTGGAAAAAAAAAGAAAAAGGAAGCATAAGAACACAATCACATTTCGAAGAACTCGGAGAGAACTTATTCAAAAAGAATACAACAAAGCTTCAAAAAGTTGGTTAGATTACATACACGTATCATTGCAAAGCAATTAAACATATGTGATCAAGAGAAAAATACTGGTGCGGACACCAGTGTTGCACATGGCAGCATATGTACTTGAATAATCAGAAAAGTGGGTACATATAAAACACTTCATGCATACAAATACAAGAAAATGGCATAACTAAGTGTACACATATTGTATGTAATCTAAGAAGTACATCTTCAACTTCTTTCTGAAAGAAAACATGGAAGAAGCATGCATTATGAGAATTATTATTTGGGGATGACTGTTTAGTAGATTAAGGATTTGCCATTTTAAATGTTGCTAACCATAGGTTGTTCTAGTTCTTGGTTAAAAAAAAAGTGGCATGTCTAAAGTTGTAGTTTCGATTATTGTTAGTGTAGGTATCGAGAAATCGCTCAGAGTCATTTCTGTACTCTAAAAATATGAGCTCCAAGAGACTCTGGTTATAGATCTCATGAATTCAAAGTATGCGTTTTGATGAAAAATACGAAGATACGTGTTCGTGGTATAAGTAAAGAATAAATAGAAGAGCTCTTTTTTGTCATTCATCACCTAACGCCTTCACTAAAAACCATTCGACTGATAAATTCAAAGCTTGCTTGCAGCAGTACACATAAAACATTTGAAATAGCATCTTTTGTGCCAAAAATATTTCATACACGGGTTTTATCACATATTGTGTTATTTCTCAGTAGTGCCATGGTGAAATTCACTTCATAATTGCAACGGTTCCCACAACAGGCGCCATGTCGGATTCTAGGCTTACGATTAAACATACAATGCCCTAAGTTGCTGTGGTCAGTTGCAATATTGTGAAAAACAGGAACAAAGTCAAGCTAATTGAACTATAATATGTTTACTTCTACATATCACTATTCGTTAATGCAGTTATTGAAGCGCGCTAATATTCTATTATTACTCGAGTATTGCTCACTTTGAAAGTCACTGTTAATAATATCGTCAGGTCAATTGCCATTAAAATGGGACGTGGGGCTGCTTGGCCAAAAACATGCATCTGTGCCCTTTATGCAGTACATGCTGGGATGATTTTCACTGTAGCTCATTTCATAGAGCATCAAACACGTTATTGGAAGGTCGCAGGTCCTGTCAATGCCAGCACCAAGATATATTTCCGTCAACTTTTCATTCTCCCCGTTTGCTTTACAGTTACTATTAATAAGATCTCCTATACTTTCCTTGGCATTATTGTGTGTTTGTTCACATTATGATTGTGTGTAATGAAGAAACAAACAAGCCGTTTAAATTTACACTTCTCTAGCTCAAGCTATTCTCACTAACATGTGTTAATCAAATCGTACCTTGGACTAACGCGCTTGTAAGTTCGAAAAAAAATATTTGACCTGTTTTTTTTTTGTTTTAGAAAGTTATCAACCAAAACAATTCACCAAACAGGAACTCGTCTCAGGAGCTTCATACATATCATCACCTCTTGATCGTCGGTAAAAAGGTTTTGTTTCTCTCTGACGCACTAATGTTTTTTTCAGTCTCCTTTCGGCCAAAAATCAGTGCCGAACTTGACCGCCCTCCCCCCCCCCCCCCCCCGCGCCGTCGCATTCATCGGGGACACGTCATCTTTCCGGACTGCACTAACATTTGTCTTAAGCCGTATTTCCTTGTCGTTGTTTGAACATGTACTCTCTTAATGACCAGCGGTGATCCTGCCTATACACAACATGCCCGGCCCATGTCCACTTCTTCTTTATTTCACCTATGATGCCTCACATGATATGTATATCTATGTATTCTCATTATTTTTTTGTTTTATTTCTGCGTTCTGTTTTCACTGAATTTTTTGCATTATCCACTCCCTCTGTAACGTCTTTATGCGCTTTGAGGATAATGTAAATAAAAAAATATTTTAACCAAGATATAATGTACGACACTCATGGTATACGAGCAAGTTCATTATGCTGTTTCCGAGGTAGCAGCGTTGTCATAAAGCTCGACTCAAACATAGATTGGGGACTGACCAAAGGAACTATGTTCATTATCGTGCAGAAAAAACATAAAGCGCACGCTTGCATTATACTGCACAAGAAACTTCCGGTGTCGATGTATACTGTACATTTACAACGCTCATTCTGATGCTGATGCTGATGACCTCTGATGGATGGCGCTTACCCACAAAGGGGGATGGGCCAAGAACCGGGCGGCAGGATACTTAAATGAAACTAAAATGAAAATGAAGCCAATCTGAAAAAGTAGCTTAAAATAATACTACCAAAAAACAAAAATGTTTGCTGAGCAAGCGGTCAAACCATCTTTTGTTTTTGAAAGACATAACTACGATTATAAACTAAAGATCTGAAAAGGTAGGGGCTCACTAGCATGGTAATCTTTTAGTTGCGTTGATGTAATCAAACACAGCGGAGCATACATCCCTGTGGCAGTAACCAAATGAAGTTCCGCCAAGTGATAAAATTACTGGTAGATTTACTTGTATTCCTAGCTTTTGTAATGGGGCTACTAAAAATCTTTTTCTCTGATAAGAATAACGATGACAGAATAAAAAGAAATGTTCAATTGTTTCAATTTTGTTGCACCAAATGCATAGCGGTGACGTCTTGAGCCGAGCTTTATTAAGATAATAATTTAGTTGTGGAACTGCACAGCGCAATCTGGTATAAGTGACCTCTAACTGGCGAGATACACACCACTGTTTACGCTCATTCAGTGCGTGTGGTTACATGTCGTTTTAGACTTTTATCTTTTCAATGCTCCCCACTTCTTCGATTTGCGTCTTTTTTCCCTGTATATATGTGTTTTTCACTCTAAACACATGGACGTAGCGTATTTTTTAGACAATCGTCATCTGCTTCTTCCTGGGTATTTTCTCTGTTTCTATATATATAGCTCAGACATAGCAACGCCACTATTAATAATAATTGCTGCTAAAGCACTATGACATCCACATGGCCATTCCCGTCTGAAAATTTAAGGTGACTCGTTCTTGCAGTGGTGCACAACACCGCGCCGCCTCTCCAATCAAAACTGTCGCGTCAAGAAAGAAGTTATAAAACACTGCACTAAAAGCCGGCACAAGCGCTTTATTAACATCGCCCACGCGCAATATCTTCACTGTAGTAAAAATCAAACAGATGATAACAAATACAGACAGGCCTTAACAAGCAGCACGAAAAAAGAAAAAAAAACGAACAAGCTGTACCGGAGCATAGTGGCGCCATCTGGCAGCGTGAAAGAAGACATTGACGTCCGTGTGGCTCGTGCTTGCCGGGTTCCTGCCTGAACCAGACTGTTGCGGCTAACGCTTCTTGAATAATAACAAGTGTGTATATACGTGAACTCACTCACTGCCAATTCACCAAGTGGTAAAAGTACTTGCGTCTAAAAATTAGCTTGTTGATTTTTCCCCTTGCTTGTTAATCTTTGCTAAGGCCTGACTGTATCTGATTTCAACTGTCGGCCTTTTTCTATAGCGTGGAAACTGCACGTGCATGGTGTTACATAAGTGCGCGTGTCAGAATTCAGCGACAATTTAAATGCTTGCTTCACGCTTTTTGACTTTTCAGTTTTGATTGGAAAGGCGGCATGGTGTTGTGCATTGTAAAAATGAGTGGTTTTAATCGTCGCAATAAAATTTCAGTACAGCGCCCGTCAAGCCACCGTGTCTCCTTCATCGACGTATTTTTCGCCACGTGTTTCCCCCGCGCAGCATATGTAGCTCGTTCGAGCAATACCTATTGCTTCCTACAGTGTTTGCCATCCTCGCAACATCCACACCTTCGAATGGTGCTTTTCAGCAAAAGCATTTGCATTCGGCGTAAAGCGAGTGATGTGTCTGGATGGTGGAAGGGCGCACCGCACTCACTCAATCTGAACCGGGACCCTTCCTGGCAGAAGTCTTCGATGAGTTGAGCAGCTCCGCTGGTGAGCCGTCTGTAGATCTCGCGCTGTCGCTCGTTGAAGCAGCGCCGCGTGAACCCGTTCACGCATTCCATGGCGTCCGTGAGGTGGCTGCGATGCAAAGACAGTTTATTTTCCGGCCCCTTTTACCTTCCTAAGTACAGCTGATTAGCAGGCGGCAAACTTCCTCTAAGCTTCATGTAATCTTTACGTTTTTCTCTCTCATACGAGATTCAGCGCGGGAGTCTTACGTGCTGTGAACTGTGTTGTAGCAAGCCCTGCAATGTGAAGCTCAGAATTCCAGTATAGGCCCCCCCTTCGCACCGAAAATCAATCAAGGTCTTATTCAACTTCGTGCGTCGCAGGAGCCTCTTGTATAAGCTGTAGCAACCCCGCCTCACACATTCCTCTTGTTCACTTTCTTCTCTCTTCCCATCTTTTTTTTTTTTCTCCTTTCGGTGCTGGGCAGCAATCCTGATGCTACAACTTTCGCTGACTCTTTTCTCTCATTTTATTCTTTCTCTCTCCCGGCACTTTTTCACATGCAGCTAAATTAGTAACCTCCATGTCCTCGGTAGTTTTTTTTTTTTTCATCTTTCACCATAGAAAGCGCTTAAAAACACTTCAGGGCTTCTTGATTCATAAAAACTGCGCCAGAACATCGCTGAAAGCTACACAGTGGACACTATAAAGGTTTCCTTGCTTGTTCACACTCTCATTTATGTGCTGACCTGCCACAATCTTAATGAATGAGAGTACTTTCAATAAAACTTGTGTTGCGCCTAGTTGATACTTAACTTTTAAGCTAGAAGATTTCAGCAAAAAAAGATCATGTTAATCCACGCCCAAGCATGTTTCTTCTCGTCTTTGTGGTTCGTCTCAGTTCGTTCTGTCATTTTTCACCTTAAAAAAATAAGAGTTCACAGGCATGTCCACGTTTTCACACAACACACGCAGGCGGCCACAATAGACCGCAGTAACAGCTTCACTTCAGAGCAATCCCTGCACTATATCGGTCCTCACCTCGTGCGAAAAATTTGCAAAGAAGAATCTATATATCGTGGGATAAAAATAATAAGCGAATTCAACGAATAACTATTCTCGCCAGGAATGTCTCCCGTTAATATCAATGACTGTTTCGGGGCCAAAGAGTATCAATGGCAGTAGTGAGCTTAACACCACGCAATAAAACGTAACTACCTTTTATTTCAGTATTAAAAAAATATACTAGGAGGGCGATTCCACGTAAGATCGAACAAAGCATGGCTGGTCGTTCTCTTGAAATTCTTTTTTAAAATTTTTTATATTGTTACCTGATGAGTGGAAAGACGAGATCCGCAACTGGTTTTGATGTAAAAAAAACTTTTTTCAGAGCACAATAAATCAATAATGACGTAGAGGTGAAGTTACGCACTTACCTGCTCTGCGGTTTATTCTTTTCAAATTTGGTGATTAATTACACAAAACATATTAGAGGTACGTGATTACAATTTTCTTAGCTAAATATTGGCGTATTTGTGCTTACGTTCAGGTATTTTTTATTTCTTTGAGTAGTTTATATATTATAGAAATCTCAAAATTGGCCCGGAAAATGTTTTTTGTCTACTTTGCACACCTTTATTTCAAAAAGGACTTACGACAGAGCAGTGACAATTCCGCATTAATTTTGAAGCAGTCTTATTTAAAAAAACTGCGAAAGCTTATGTTAATAACTCTTCTCAATGAAAAGATATAACCACGTCAACTTCAAGAAAAGATCATGTAAGAGAAACTTTTGACGAAGATGAAAAACATTTTTTAATATTTTTTAAACTTTCCCTACTTATTCTTCTGCACATCAGCTTTTACAGTAAATAAAAACATGCTGCATTATGCAGTTTCTCTTAAAGTTACGGCCCATCAAAAATGCCTTTGCGCAAGTATAGGCATTTGTAGATCGGACTTCCTGCCCGCTAAGTGTGAAATGCAGGCCTATAGTCGGCAGTTTCTTTGCTCCCGCATCCTGCTGTACCAGTTCAAGTAAAACACCGTAACTCGAATAGCCACATTGAGACGACGTCAACTCCATCGTGGAAAACTCACTCGCATATACGCTTCAGTTCGGCCTCGGTGGTGGCGAACGCGAGGCTCTTGTTGCGTGACAACAGGTCAAGCTTGCGCACGCACTCGGTGACCACCTCGTTGTGGCAAGAGTCATTGCTGACGTCATCACTGTCGGAGCCGTTAGCTGCCCGACTGAATCGTTGCACCGTGGCGGCCCAGCAGGTGTGCCATCCGCAGCTGCACAGCAGTACCGCACCTGCAGCATTGTTTACGGGTGAAATTGATCAACTTTAAAGAGACTCTAAACGGCTAATAAAGAGCAGTTTATGCCACAGTGAACGCTGAATCCTTGAGAACGTCTATAACTAAGAGGGCGTCCGAGCTTCGCTTTCGGTGTGCTTCGGTGGAACGGTGGGTATACAGTGCTGGGCTGCTGAGCCGAAGTTCCCAGGTTCAATCCCGGCCATGGCAGGTGCAATGGTAGAAGCCGGCGTGCTGTGCAATGTCAGTGCGCACGTTAAGGAACCCCGGGTGGTCGGAATTTCCGGAGCCTTCCACTTCGGCGTCTCTCATAATTATATCGTATGGTTTCGGGACGTAACACCCCAATTAATAAGAGCTTCGCTTTCAAGAGTTAGAACCCAAAATTGGAGGATCCTTAAGCGTCGCCTTTAAGAGTTGAACGTGATAGCGACTTCTTATGCCTAGTGTGTAGCTTAAGCACGTAGCGCAAACTCATTATTATGTGATGTAACTCGGAAAGATGAAATTGTAGATTACTACAATGTAATTTGAAAGCGGCCTGTGTCGATCAGGGAAGCTTTCGCATTTGGTTGCATGCAGTGTAGGCGCTTAGCTCGAAATTTTTTTCGGGGGGAGAAAGAGACCACTTTGATTTCGGGCGGGGCACCCCCCTTAAAATGGCCATTCCTCGCTCTCTGTGCGACGTAAAAAGAATATCGGGGGGGGGGGGGGGGGGGGCACGTGCCCGGTGTTCTGCCCTCTGGCTACGCCCCTGATTTTCAGTGCAAGGGCAACACGCTTTAAAGGGCCAGTCATCAACCGGTTCCGAATGTTTTTCACACACCCCAAACAAGCTCGTTCACCGTTCCTACGCGCGTGACCAACCTCCTTCCACGCGAAGCAACGTCAACTCGACGATCGGCGACGTGACGCAGCTCGTCGATTGGTCTCAATCAGATCTCAACAAACAGTTATGAAGTCAACGTCTCCTATCGCCCAGTCGACATCCCTGCGTCACTCAAACCACGAGCGATTGTGTGCGTGAAACATTTTCGAGCTTGCTATAAGTTTACGCATTTACGAAAGGAGCTCGCTACTCCCGCACGAAGAAGTATGCATTGTGACCATTGTTCGCACTTGTCCTTTGCATACGTGTGCGTTCATTTCATGCTTCTTTCTTTCTGTATGAGCCACGTGCTTTAGGTGTCTAGCTGTAACTGTTGTTTGCCCATCCTCGTTCTGTGTATGCTCAGTTCGTTCGTGCTTTCGGCTTGAGGTGCGCGCTGCAAGTTACGAGCTGCTTGCTGTTCTTTGCCTGACTTTGCAATTTGTTACTACAGCATTTATTCCTTAGCCCTTGTGGCGGAGCAATGCACAATAAACGTTCAACTACCTCTCCGAGGACACGTTTCGCTTTTGTGTTACACCCGTTTCTAAATAGAAGGATCAACCACGTTTTTTTTTTTCTCTATTTCCTAACGTAGGCGAGGTTGTGTGGTAGAACACCTGCTTGCCACGCATATTACCTGGGTTAAATCCTCACTCTGACCCGGAATTTTCCACTTATTTTATTTACATCTTTCTCCAGATTTAGGTCACGGACAATGTGATGATTTATTCGCTCACAACCAACGACGCTGACATTGACGCCAACGCCGAAGCGGGATTTTCTGCGAAACGGACTATCACGTTGAAAGAGGTTTGCAGCAGGCTACGGAAAATTGTTGCGGAAATACGACCCGGTTTCTTTCCGTATGCGCCTACAATGGTCGCGCATGTGCACTCGTCAGCCGCTTCCGTGTTTACGTATTTCCGTAACGTGTTTCCGTAACTTGCTAAAAACCTCTAATAGCGTAATCGGACCGAGTTCGTATCCCAGTCGCTGGCCTGTCTGCGCCTCTCGGTCGGCACCTATAAGCCTTGCCGCAAGGAAGCACAAAATGCGGGTGCCCTCCACTTCCTCTATATCCATGCATGCGGCACACAAAACACGGCAAGCAATCCTGTGCTCCCTTCGCGCTGTTTCATGGGCGATAGCTAAGCCTCTGCAATGCTGAAGCACCTCATAGATACGTGTACGACCAATGGTAAAGGGTGCGTGCAAATAGCTCGCCGTTTGTGGGCTACATACAATGTCTTGGTGGTGGCCGAGTGGCTAAATTCACCGAGGTTGGGATCTTATTTAAAGTGTAGCGCCGCACAACGACAATGGACTGTGTATACACACAGAGACAGCGCTACTTCCAACAATGCGCCGCAGAGCGCTGCTTCCAACGTTCGCATTCTGCCATTCTTACAACGAAAGGTCATAGGTCCAAAGCCTTGGTGTCAAGTGAACCAAAGATTTTCAATATTTTTTTATTTGCATGCATCTACCTCGAATTCGCGCTCACATAAACGCCAATTTTTCACTCACAACCAGCGACGCCATAGCCGACGCTAGCCCAGGCATTTCTACGAAACAAGCTCTTTAACGCGAACTCGTTGAAACGACAATATAACGCACAACAACGTTTTTCCTATTGAGAAATTAAGCTGAATGTGTAGCATACAATTTTCACAACCAAAGGGCCTCAGTATGGTAACCTTAGTAGCAAGGTCTCAGTAGAATTTATCGCAAATAGACCACCCATCACAGAGGAGGAGAACATTTCAAAGCATGATAAATTTTTTCTTGTGCATTCCACTCCGATCCACGCAAAAAAACTTGCGGACGTCATCCTTGAGTAGAACACCAAGAAGGTTGAAAAAGAGTGCTACATGTGGTAGCAGTCGTTGCTCAAGAGTGAAGCCATGCCTTCCATAATATGGCACCAGCCGTATCACTAAGGGCCATATTAGCTGTCGGAGTTGGGCAACGGAAAGGGAACGTTTTCAACGCAAGCCCACCAAGTTGAATATTGCAACTTTTACCGGTCACATACTGTTCCAGCCTGCCTTTGTGTTGCTTGCCTTCCTAAGTAAGCTACGACATATTGGGAAACTTATTGGAGATAAAGTCACCAATACTCGTCTTCATGTGCCACTTTTATCTTGAACGAATAATAGCGCCACAAGAACAACAATAGCGCTGTAGTCTACTTCCCTCTTTTCGTCGTCGTTTTTGTGGCGCTGTTATTCGTTCAAGATGGAAGCACACCAACTCACGCAGTTGATCCTTCTGGTGCCACTTTTATCGGGAAGAGTAATATATTATTTCGTACTTAACATAGCGTTTAACACTAACAGAGCAAAGCCATTGGATCTCTAAGTAAGCACCATAAAAAAAAGCCTGTTTCCGAGATCTCTCGATGACAAAAGTTGGCTTCCCTTGTGCTGGCAAGGCATTTGAAAAGGTTCCATTCGAGGATTTTTTTTAAGCACCTTGAAGGAGGCCAAGCTCGTTTTCACCAGCTCGAGCTGGAGAACCTGGCTCCGGTGCACCGTAGCGCTCGCTGATGTACAGCAAAACGAGCAAAGGACAGGCCAGGCTACATCAAAACTTTCTCAGTTGTGGGAGGTTTCGATTGATTCGATGGTTTTCTGTCCCAATAAAGTACTGGGCATGTCTCTTCGGCTTTCGCTGCAGACCGGGCTTAGAGGCTCGCTTTCGATGAGATTCATTCTTCATGCTACCTCGCACCTGTTCCGACACACCTGTCTTTGCTGTGTCGGCACAAAGCCTTCTCGGAACGTCTTTGTGTCGATGGCGCTCAAAACCGTAAACGCCTGTCAGAACGCATGCACTTGCTGGATAGAGTGTATACCCCTAAAACGTGAATTTCTTTTTTTTTTAATAGAGAATTTCTACGGAGCGAAACGAGAGCTACGAGGTTTCTGGAGCGCTAATACAACAATCAACATCGAATAAATGTTTCCTTCGAAGTCCCATTAAAAAGCTTCAGTCAGCTGGTACAAAAAGTTTAGAGCAAAAAAAAAAACACGAAAGGACAAAGAAAGGCTACGCCGCCAAGCGCTTGGTATGGTGCGAGAGAGCTCTGCATGTGTTTTCCGCACAAAGAAATGTTCTGATGTAATATGAATGTTCTGATATAACGTCCTTAATAGCAGGAAAATGGGAGAATTGAACTCACAGAATTGGAGCTTCTCCTTCTCAAGTGCTTTTGCTTTGCTTCATTAAAAATATGCCATTGCTTTGATTGGCTGAATGTCTTTTTGACGAACGATTCCAGTGCAAGATACTGCGTAATGGAAAACCAGAAGATAATGAAGCTAAGCCATGTATATGGGCACAGTGCCTAGAAGCACTGCATAGTATAGGGGATGTTAAATTTACTCGTTATAGTGTATTGAAGTGTTTGCGATATATATGCGCAAAAAGTTAAGTGGACGAAAAGACAACTTGCCTTCGTGATGAATACGAGCCCTGGTCCTCACACAGCTTCAAGAACATCGAGGAATAATCATAGGAAATGGGCATTTGCTGCTGCTGAGCAGCTTGCGCCATCGAAAATAGGAAAATTTGATAACTTTTTTTCCTCCTACCCCTGTTTCTTCTCAAGAGCAAGGTAGCATACCAAGTTGATCTCTGATGAATCTCCCTGTCTTTCTTCTATTATTAATCTCTAGTTCCCTGATCGAAATGATAAGTGTCTCCTATAAATGAACCAGCTCATCTGTTGGAAAGTTTGTCATCGCATATGCTGATACTATGTAACGCGAAGGGCCAAATTGGAGCATTATTGGAACCAGGACGTATTTCAGAAACTAATCAGAACCTGTTTTCATTGCACATAGCACATATCACTGAAGAACAGCCGAAATTAAAGCCGAAGCTTTCAACGATGCACGTGTGGTCTGATTCATACTTGGCCACCCACAACACCAATCTGAATCCAAGATAGCAAATTTCAGCGTAACCACGCGATGTTACATGTAATTCAATTCAAGCGCCCTCGGAAGATAAGATTTCTTAATGTTCCAATCATCGCTACTTCCATTAGCCGACGAAGCAATATGTCCTATACTCGTAGCATGGTGCTGCTTATAGTATCGCGTAAAACGCATCAGATAGTAAGCAGAAGCAGCCAATAATAGCTTTTCTTTTCACGTCGACAGTGCGATGAAATATCATCTGTTCACAAAAAAAAGCTAAAAAGACGGTGTTATTGTGTCGAATTAAAGCGCTATTCCCAGTCTCGCTGCATTGTATTTTGTATCAGTACAGCCTGGTAATCATGATTTTTGCGCTTCTTTTTTTTTTGCGTCCAATGCGTGGTTTTCTAACCGAATAAACACCACGATGATAGGTGTTCGTCATGGTTCCTTGGCCGAATAGGGACGGCGTGGAAGCGACAGCGAGTACTGAATAAGAAAAAGAAACGAAGAAAGGGAAAAGGTGGTTCGGAGGTTGACGGTCACCACTCAGCAAAAAGCAATGCCTCTCCTTGCTTCTGCTGTCCTTTGATCTCCTTCACTTAAAATCCTGTCGCAACTTCAATCGAAGCCGCTCGTGCTATTTCGACACTGCTCGAGGCACGGCCCTAGAAAAGGTGAAGCAGCCATTATCGAGAAATACCTCCCAAGAAGATCGTGGCCGACAGGGGCTGCGTTGCAGGAGAAGTTCGAGAATCTACAGGAGCGACGCAAAAGAGCGCACTGGCACTTTGCGAAACGTTCTTGTAAAAGCCCGCATGTGTTCCAACCCCGCTTGCACAACCCTACTACTCTAGCACTCACCGCCTTCTCCAATGTGTGTGTTTGTGGAAGGGGGGGGGGGAGGGGGGGTTGCGGAGCAGAGTAAAACCATGGTGGTGTCTCATCCAAATAATGTCACACAAAAATGCAGTTAGCTGGGCCAGTTTATGTGGATCTATGGTTAAGCAGCGCAAAGAACAAGACGATGCACCGAGACAAAGAAGACAGGAGCAAGCGCTGCGGACTTCCAACTAAGCTTTTTTGATCAGAAGTGAAACATATAGATACATACAGTGCCC